CTGCCCGTTCGCCGCGACATCTTCGACCGGCCCCGTACGCCGCGACGCTCGCCACTCGGCTACCGCACGCACCGCGTTCGGTACTGCATGACGCAAAGGATGTGCGTCGCGCGTACGTGTGTCGTGCGCATCGAGCGCAATCGCGACTTGCCCTTGCGTGTCTGGCGCCTCGGTCACGAAGGCTGCGCACCCAATCTCACCCGCAACTTGTGCCGCGCGCGCCGCCGCCAGGCATCTCGCAAAGCCGGCACGGATCCAGTCGGTCGCATGCGGTGCCTTCCAGCGCGCCGCGTCCTGCGCGCGGTCCACGAGCGTTGCTGCCCGTGCTGCGTCGCTGCCCGGCAAGGCATTCCCCGTCGCGAGGCCAGCGCCAGGCGGCAAGAAAATGCACGGCCATACTGACGCCCACTCGGCAAGGCGCGCGCGACTTGGCGCAGCACACACTGGCACACGCACGAGGTACAGCTCGGGTACGGCGAGGTCGCCGAGCGCAGGTGCCAGCAGCGCAACGAGCTCATCGCGCGACTGCGGGCCGTATTGGGCAACGAGCACCGCGAGGCGGTCGGTGTCGGCATTTGCTGGTAGTGCATTCCCATCGACATCGACGTGCGTCACTTCGCGCGCCTTGCGGAATGTGCGCAGATGCCGCAACTGCGCGCCGCTGTGCACCACCTTGTCCTTGGTTAGGCCTTGGAGCACACGCGCTACCGACGCACAGTTGCGCGGCTCTGCATCCAAGGCCCAGGCGAGCATAGTATCAAGCGGCATGGTGCGTGGGTCTGGTGATGCAGTGACGCGCCAAAGTGGGGCGTCCGTGTCGACGGGCGCGCGTGCATATGTAGATGGCGGGGGGGTATCGAAGGAGCCTGCATCGTCCGCGTCCGTGAGGTCCATTTGGCCAAACAGCGTGCACTCGTCCGTCTCAGTCGCTGGAGGTGTTTTGGGCATATCATCTGTCTCCCACCACATTTTTCCGGCGCCATAGCAGATACACAGCTCCTCACCCGCAGCGATGTCGCGCACCGTACGAAACTGGATGCACTGCGCTGTACGATTGAGCTGGTAGGATACATTTGCGCGTGGCGAGTGGTTAAAGAGTGAGCCTAATCCCAATGCGAGCGCCATGGTGCTGCCATTCGTGCGCTTCTCCCAAACAAACGTGTATGAGTCGAGGAGCGTGTGCCGTCCGTGCGCTTGGTATTCTTCGGCGCCGAACAGGAGTACAGGGCTGATTTCTACAATGACATCACGAGCAATCGGCTGCGACGCCACTACACCGCGGCCTGCCGTAGGCGTGTCACAGATGCGCAGGCCGAGCGCATTGAGATGCGGCGTCACCTCCTCCCAATCCGCGTCTGCGTCGCGGTTGGCCATCAAAAAAAGGCCAAATGTTAAGATCGGACCTCCACTTAACAACGATGTCGGGCAGGTGGCAAGCATTGTCCCGCGTAACTATGCTACGCCGTGCATTGCACACGACGTCCCGCCTCGGCAAAGAGCCCACGCACAAGCCGCAAAAGACGCCCAAAAAGGATGCACCGCGCGACAACGATGCGCCGCAGCGCTCTGTCTCTGACCGTGATCGCGAAATCCACGAGCGGCTGATGGACCGCGAAGGCGGGCACCATGCGGTCGGCATTGTGGACGGAAAATACGAGGGCGGCCTCGGAAAGGAGACCAAGAAGAACATGTTCCGCTTGATTTAGCTGCTCATTATACAGATACCCTATGCACGAATCAATCTCGGCTCTGCGCCTACTCAGACGCATTGGCCTCCGCCTCGGCATCCTCCCGGGTCACGCCCGGCGGACGGTATGCGGCAAAGGAGACGCGCGGGATATTCGGATCCGTAGCATCTGACTCCGATTCGGAAGATGCACCCTCGTTGCGCTCATCGGGGCTCGAGGTATCGTGAGAGCGCAAGATGCCCGAATCGTACGGCTCGTCCGAAGGCACCGGCTTCTGTGTCTCCGTAGGCACATACGAATAGGTCGCTGAGCGCCACGCATTGGGTGGCGGCACCGAGATAATAGTACCAGGCGCATTGTTGTCATCCGCGCTGTTGGCGTCTTCCTTGGGCGTCTCTTGAAGGCCTGTCCGTGTCTTGGGGATTTTGCCGAGACACTGGTCCTTGGTGTAGTTGCCAAACTCGGGTTGGGCCTGGATTTCAGATGGGTCGCTCTCCTTGGCACCGATCCATTCCGTCATGTATTTTGAAATCTGCCCGGGGATGCCCTTGCTGAAGAGCTGCGACATGTGCGACTCTTCGAGCGGGTGGTCCTCGTCCCAGCTAAAGTACCGCTCGAGCTTGTCGCCATGGCGCGACAGCCACGAATGGAACGGCTTGTTCTTGTCACGAAGGGCGCGGTAGTCGTTGTCCGAAATGGGAATCACCACCGTCTTGGCCTCTGACAGGGGATGGTCTTGGTATTCCAGCACCATGCTGTGCCCCTCGAGCCACTGTTTCACGCGCGGGTATTCGTTGTCGTCCGTATCATATGCCATGTCCGCAATGTCCTTTTCGCCCTCGCCACCCTTCTCTGTATCCGCAGCACGGCGCTCCATAGCCTTCTTTCGGCGGTACTTGCGCATCTCGGCAGTATCTTCACCACCCCAGTCCTCGTCTTCGCCCGCCTCCACAATGGGTTCCTCTTCGGCGGATGCGTCCTTGATCCTACTCTCGCGCAGGCTCGCTGCCTCGGGGGTCGTACCATGTTGTGATTCCTCGTCGGTCGCTACACTCGCCACACTTGGCTCGCGTAAGCGGCGCAGACCCTGGTGCATAGCTTCCACCACAGTCGTCTGCCCCGTCGGTTCTTCCTCTTCGCCTGACGGTGCATGGCCCGTGGCACCAGTCATGGTGCGGCGCAGGCTCGTGACCCAACCCGGCTCGTCCATCGAGAAAGCATAGCTTGGAGCAATGCTGAGCGTGCGGCTTAGGTTGACATGCGCGCGCTTGCCGAATGCAAAGAACGGCACGGTAAAGCCGTGCACAAGGACCGACGCCAGCACGAGGAAGAACACGATCGGTTGGATGGTGTACGCCAACACTCCGTTGGTAGTCTCCGGCGGGTACTCCACGTGCTGGACGAGCAGCAGGCGGCCGTAGGTCGACATAAAGATGGCACCGACACCCATAGGGCCAAAGTAGCCCGAGAAGACCGCCTCGTGGAACGTCTTGATGTCGGGAATAAACTTCCACAAGGCGACCACAATCGGGATACGCTTGAGCAACAAAATAAGAATGGCCAGTACGATCAGGCGCCAAATCGACAGGTTGATATCGCCATTCACAAAGTCATGCCACGGCATGATGGCGCCAATGTACACAAACGTGCCAATGTTGAACAACAGATCGATGATGCTGCTAAAGTTGGAGTCCTCGGTCTGCTTCTGAAACCAGCCATCCCATGCAAATGCACTTCCGCACGCAAATGCGGCAAGCAGGTCATCACTGCCCAGCAGCACGTTCACACCCATACTCGCAAGGGCCAAGCTGACATACTGCGCCACGAAACTCTCACGGTCCACGAGCTTTTTGCTTTCACTGAACCGGATCAGTCGCCGCGCCAAAAATCCCATCAAGGCACCCAAGGATGTTCCAAGACAAATTTCCCACGCCCACGTTTCTGCATCAGCGCACATCACGTACGGTAAAACCATTTGCCCACGGGAAAGCCCACCTGACCACGGTTAATGGTCAAATAGTAGGCAAGGAACAAGAATGGGAATGCGGCGCCATCGTTACACCCCGATTCGCATTGCAACAAATGACGGATATGCGCCGGAACGTGGCGCTCGGCCCAGGGCCCACCCACGACGGCTTGCGCCAGAATCGGATCAGTGGGCGACAAGCAGGCACCGATCATCAAACTGCATCAGCAATTACACATACGAGTTTAGAAAGTCCAACCCAGGGATTAGCGCCCAAATCAGCAAGGACGAAATGAACCAACTCCAGACCATCACAGGCCCCAACAACATTGCAACAGATTTCCAGTGTCGCCAGACGTATTTTTTGGGCAACTGAAGTGTGAGCACGTACGAGAGGGACTTACTTCAACGCCCACAGCAAAAACGGATAGGGCAATGCACACGCGTGTGACTTCCAGAGTAATTTCGTTGGTTGTTTCGTCCCCCGGTGTCATGGACTCTTGGTTACCCCAGCTTGCGGGATCAAAGATTGTTGCGGCCACCGGACCTGTCATTAGCCATCATGCAGGCAGTAACACACCAATGATAATACCAAAAATCATAGCAAGAGGAGCTTCGCCGAAATACAATTTCTCCTTGATTAACATGGAGAACATGCCGAACTAGAAGTGAGCCAAGCGTCGACGTACCACCACGATAAACAGCCCCAAAGCCACATAGATGATATGAGGGGCCGAAACCTCGAAAGGCTCGAAATGATGCTCGGTGCCCTCAAGTTCCATCGTCATGGTGAAGGTGAGGCCCAAGGCTGAGGATCCTTCGTCGTCAAACTGGATGCAGGCGAACAAGCCCAATGCGAGACACGCGCGCGTGCGCGACAATTTTGGCTTACATAAAGGTGCGCGACGATAACCCAAACCGACGTAACGAAGTCTCGGCATTGAAGATGGCAAGTCCTCATGTACACTTACCTCGGACTGTGACATAACGCAAAGCCCGCTTAGCTCAGTGGTAGAGCGCGTCACTAGTACCTCCCGCGATAGCGGTCGGCCTTCGGGTCATGACGAGGTCGGTTGTTCGATCCAGCCAGTGGGCATTCTTTTTTGCTTACGCAACTACACTCGTCATGTGTCATGATTATGTTGGCACATGTCGCGTGGCAGTCGCGGAACAGCCCGCTTAGCTCAGTGGTAGAGCGCGTCACTAGTACCTCCCGCGAATCGTGGTTGACCGTCGGTCATGACGAGGTCGGTTGTTCGATCCAGCCAGTGGGCATTCTCTTTTGTGTGATTGTACTAAACAGTTACTCCTCATATATGTAGATGCAAGACAGAACAGCATCCGCGGCCCGCTTAGCTCAGTGGTAGAGCGCGTCACTCGTACCTCCCGCGATTGCGGAACGTCCTTAGCGACATGACGAGGTCGGTTGTTCGATCCAGCCAGTGGGCATTCTTTTTGCGCGTGTTTTTCCCAAAACTCACGTGTTTTCAAATGATTATGTTGGCAAATATGCGCACGCGTAAACCGTGGTGCCCGCTTAGCTCAGTGGTAGAGCGCGTCACTCGTACCTCCCGCGGTTGCGGAACGTCCTTAGCGACATGACGAGGTCGGTTGTTCGATCCAGCCAGTGGGCATTTATTTATTCTTATTTTATTTTTGCAAGCGCGGCAGTTACATTCGGTTAGGGATGTACAGGCGTAAGCTTGTCCTCGAAAGGATCGTGTGGTTTGACAATGCATTTTTCTGTTGCACGCTACGGTTGCGCAACGCACAATATGATGGGTGCTGTCGCGACCCATTCTGGTATCTGACTAGGCATAAGCAATGTTGGCTAATGGACCAGCACTATCGCTCGGCATTCGACGAATCATTGCCGAATGCCCAACGAAACTGATCGCGAATCCATCCTGTAATCTGTAATGGAGTTGGTTAGTCTGATCACACAATGGAGGAAGGTATTCCACGTACACTGAACGTGTTCGCTCTTGTGCTGCGTGGAGCAGCACTCTTCGTTTTTGGTCGCTGCAGCATAAGTCGTCCGCGACCTCCTTGCAATGTGGAACCGCATACGTACCTTGGTAGTCGACCCCGCACTTTGAATTGCCTCTTCGCATACAGATCCTGTCCGTTTGCCAAGAACGGCTGTAGTCGGCTCGTCTACCGTGTCTCCCACCGTGCCCCTCGTACTCGTACCCGGCTGCGTCCGTTTGCGCTGCTCAAGCTCCTGGATCCGGGCAATCATCCGCTGAATCTCGCGCTCCTTCTCCGACAAAACCGCGGAAGATACGAGGATCGACCTCGCATTGTCGCCTAATGCGTCTCGCATGGCGAATGCACTCACGCGCTCCTCATTGCGCCGTGTGTCGTCCTCCTCGTCCTCGTCGTCGGACCACTCAATAATAAAGGGCCCATGCAACGGCCGGTTCACAAAGTTGGAGAAGGTGTTCTGCGTGATGGAGCGTGCAACCGTGTGTGGATCCTGTTTGGGGCCACTCGAGACAACTGTTTGTCGGCGCGGGAATGATCGGGGGGTGGTGTGCACCGGCGGCGACGATACAGCAGCGTCCAACGGCAAGTCGAGCCAGGGCGCGAGACCTACCTCGCCCGAAGGCGCGATAGGATTTGTGCTAAACTCGTCCGCGTATGAAATCCGAGGCCGCGTACGGCGAGCATCGGGGGCCGTAGAAGTGGACGGTTGGTCGTAGTCCAAGTATGCCAGCAGATCCACGGCGCCCGTATCAGGCATATCAACATCGCGATAGCCATTCCTGTGTGTAGCACGCCGTGGCGCAGGCGGTCTTGGAGTAGGAGGCTCGCGATTCGCCGCCGCCGGCGAGGTCGGCGTCGGTGTCGGCGACACTTCGGTGTGCGCCGCAGTGACGGGGCCCGGCGCGTCCTTAGCCGGCGCCGTCTTCTTCGCTGATGCGCCCGACTTCCGTGACTGCAATGCGGCGAGCCGAAGAGCCGCACGACGCGCCTCCTCGTCCGCCGTAGGCGCGTCCGGCGGCACCTTGGTCGGCTCCGCGCTCATCCACGCTGACAAAGGACCGATGCACGGACGGCGAATGACGCTGGCCCCCGGCGCGTGCGAAACACGTGACCGGAAATCTTCCGTTGGGTGCGGACGCAGAGGAGTGGCGATTAGCCGATCATGGTGCGCATCGAAGAAGTGCAAGACGAGGCCGACAAGCTCAGGCAGCAGGGCTTCGACATCCCGGCCGATGACGAGAAGGACTGGGAGGCGACCTCGGACGAGTCCGACGATGTACGTGCGCGCGCAGGAGGCTGACCGCAGGAGGACCTGTCGGACGACGAAGACGAGGTGACCGAGCGTGGTCTTGCGCTGCGCGACGAGTCGCTCTTGGACCGCATCGCAGCGCTGAAGGACATTATCTCGCCGACGACGCGTGCTGAACTGGCCAAGACGTGGAAGACGGTATCGACCTACTCGTACTTTGGCGGCTGGGTCGCTGGGAAGCTGATCTGGATCGGCGTCACCTCGGCGCTGCTCGTCGGCCTGCCGTTCGCGCTGGCCGTCGAGGACGAGAGCCGCATCTCGGCCCAGGAGAAGGAGCTCATTGCGCAGCAGGGTGGTCACCCCGGTGCTGGCGGCGGTCTGCCGGCGGAGGTCGCCGCGCAGGCCGCTGCCGCGCAGAGTGCGCAGCCGCAGGGTCTGCGCCCGCCGGGCTTCTAAGCGTCGCACGGATGAATGCGTCGCGCCAGACGATGGCGCAGTGCCTCGATGGTGCTGCGCGGGGGAGTGGGAGAGTAGACGACCATAGCGGAAACTCCTGAGCCGCACGCGAGTCTGCGGGGTGGAGCGCGCCCGGGGCCGAGGCCGAGGCGGAAGCCGGGGTGGGGCAGGTGCGTTGCCCAAAGCTGCGCAGCGCGAGGGCCGCAGCGACGACTCCGTCACACGACGTGCGGCCGCGGCAATGCATTCTGTGCTCGGCAGCTGCGTTGAGCAGCACACCCCGTTCGGAGCCGCGGAGCCGCGCATGCCCATACCGTGCACGACTGCTACGAGTGCCCCAGCACGCAACGTCCCCCCGTTTGAAAGCAATCTCTTGGCTCCTTTAGTATGACCCCATATTTATGATACAGATGGCTTCCATGAAGCACTACGTTTTTTTTCTGGTGCTGGCGATCGCTCGCAGCCTACAGGGCGCGATCGTCGTGATGCAATACTGTACATCCTCGGTATGATACATCCACGTCGCACCTCGTCCATCCAGGGCGGGGGGCGACGTTGGATTAGGCCGCACGCTGCGCAGGCTTGGCGGCCTGCTCGTCGTGCGCCGGGTGCGCCTGTTTGGTGTCGGCAGTCGGCTGCGCACCGGGCTTGGTTGCCGCCGCGGCTTGCGCATCGGACGGATGCATCTCGGCGGCCGCGAGGGCCTGGCGCATGTACGTCCAGTCGGTCGACAGCTTGAGCAGGTTCGTCTCGTCGAGGAGCGACATGCGGTACCGGACGAAGCGGTGGTCGTAGTCGTCCAACACCGCCTCTTCGTCGCCCTCCATGCCGCCGAGGCCCAAAAGGCCGAGCCCAGCCCAGCGCCCGCCATCCTCGTCGTATCGCCAGCGCTCGGCCAGCTTGAGCGCGCGCTCGCGCTGCTCTTCGGGCGACGGCAGCTCGTCCTCCGAGTCGCTCGCGATGCCTAAGTCCTTGGACTCGTGCATCGTCACGTCCTGCTCGATGTCGGTCGCCTGCGTGCTCTGCCCATCGCCGACATCCTCCGACGACTTGGAGTGCTCGCTCGACGCCGACGACGTGCTCGCAACCTCGGCGCGGCTCGCCGCCGCATATGCGCCGCTGTCGCGTGCGCCCTCGGCGGGCGTCCGCGTCGCGCGCAGCACGTCGCGGCTCGGGTACGCACTGCTGCGCGGCGGGGGTGCATCGAGCGCGAAGTCGGGCGTCGGCAGCTGCGCCGGACGCAGCCGCGAGGCGAACATCATGGGGCGTTGCGTGCCGCTCAGCTCGCCAGGCGTGCGCAGCGCATCGCGCGCGCCCGGCGCCGGCGGCCAGCAGTGCGGGCCCCGCGGCCACGCGAGCACACTCGCCGGCGCGGGGCTCACCGTGAGCGGGCGGCGGTCCAAATACACGCGCCCGCCACGCCCGACGCGCCGACGGAAGCACGGCTGGCGCCCAAGCCGCGCGAGGGGGTGGTTCGACCAGAACTGCGTGTCGTGCGTGTCCGACTGCACGGGGCGGAAGGCACGCTGCGACAGCGGCGCGGCGAGCGGCTGGAATGCCACGTCGGTCAAGTCTTCGAAGCCCGCCTCGGTCTGCTGGTGCCACTGCGTCTCGCGCTCGACGTACGCCTGCACCGCCTTGACGCGCTCGAGCAGCGCAGCGCCGATGCCGTTCGTCGCCGAGTCGGACGCATGCAGCTTGCCTGTGTGCGCGGTCTCGGCCTCGCCGGGCTTGGGGCGGCGCAGCTTGAGCGTCGTGGGGGTCGCTGCCGCCTCGACCGCCTTGCGCTTCTTCTTGAGCTGCGTCGCATGCGCGGCCGCCGCGACGTTCGGCACGGGCGCCGTCGGGTCCGGCTGCACCCCAAAGATGAGGTTCTCGTCCTCAGCGCCCTTGACGCTCGACGTGAAGCCGTACTCGAGCTTGACCTGGAGCAGGCGGTGCGCCTGCGTCCAGCATGCGTGCGCTTCGCGCACCTGCTCGTCCTTGAGCTGCTCGCGCTGCGCCACCATCTCGAACAAACGCGTGGCTTGCATCAGCTCCGAGCGGAGCCGCACCAGCTTCTCGAGCTGGAGGGTATCGGTCTTGCGCGTCTTGCGCGCCGTCTTCACCTCGCGCCGGCGGAAACACACGTACGGGTCACTGTCGTTGCTCTCGTCAAAGTTGAGACTCGGCACGATTGGTTTGCCGTCGCGCGCCTGGCGCCGCAGCCGCCACCACGGGTAGATGACGCGCGCGCACGGCTTCAGCAGCGACAGGTGCCGGAAGGGGTTCGCAGCGCTCCACACCGGTACGGCCGCGTCACCCTTTTTCGCAGCAGTGCCTTTCGGCGCGAGCTTGCCATTGACCGGCTTGCCGTCAAGCGCATCCGTCGGCCGCGCACGGTACGGCGGCAGCTCAGGCAGCGCCAGCTCGGCGGCAGCCGACGTCTCGTCAAATTCGGGAAGCAGGTCGTCGAGTGTCGGCACCTTGGCAAAGTCGAGCTCGAGCAGAGGGTGGTGCTCGCACGTCGCACGCTCAAACACAAACATGACCGTCTCAAACTGGTCCTCGTCGATCACGAGGTACTTGTCGGGGTGCTGCTGCACGAGGTCGTGTTCTTTGGCCTGTGCCTGCGCGCCCTTGACGCCTTTCAGCGCCTGCTCCAGCTCGCCCTTGGCCTTCTGGTTGTGCTTGTCAAGCCAGCCTTGGTCGTCCTCGTCGAGACAGTAGGGCGCACCGCGCGTGTTGCTCTCGACGGTATCCGAATATCTTACAT